GGCCCACCTCATGCCTTTTTAATCCATCCTTGAATTGCTATTGCTAATTTCCTAAACTCCAGGTTGGCTCATCTTGTTCCCTCAATGTAATCTTCTTCCATCCCTATGGAGTAAGGGTGGTAAGAATGGTGATGGTGATGATGATGGTGGTGGCTAAAGTTTAAATATGATGAAGACGGGATAACAAGTACTAAGCCTTACTCTGTGCCAGGTACTTTAAGTACTTTACATATATCTTATTTAAATTACAAATACACCAATGAGGCAATTACACTACTACCATCGATTTATAGATGAGGAAAATAATGAAATCATGACATTTACACACCCTGTAATGAACCTTTACTTTCCTATCCTTTAAAAAATTTTTTGCTTTACTATTATTATTTTTATTAGAGATGAGGTCTGACTGAATTGCCCAGGCTGGTCTCGAACTCCTGGCCTCAAGTTGTCCTTCCACCTCGGCCTCCAAAGTGTTGAGATTATAGGTGTGAGCCACCATGTTGTCTCCACTATTATACTTTCCTATCTTTATTGTCTACTGCATCTTTCCTTTTTTTTTTCCTCCCCAGAGATGGGGTCTTGCTATGTCCCCCAGTCTTGAGTGCAGTGGCACCATCATAGCTCACTGCAGCCTTGAACTTTTAGGCTCAAATGATCCTCCTGGCTCAGCCTCTTGAGTAGCTGGGACTACAGGTGTGCACCACCATGCCCAGCTAATTTTTTTCATTTTTTTATAGAGATGGAATCTTGCTATGTTGCTCAGACTGGCCTTGAACTCCTGGCCTCAAGTGATCCTCCCACCTCAACCTCCCAAGTAATTGGGATTAAAGTCATGAGCCACCACACCCAGCCCACAACATCCTTCTAGCCCCCTCTAAATATACAATAACTGCAACTGTACTTACTATCCACCAAATATAACAGAGCCTGAATGGGGTGACGCTCTTGGTTAGGAGACTCCTATTCACCATTCTCTGAAATCCTCATTTTTCAAGGTCCAGTAAAATTACTACCTTCTCTGTCAGCCTCCCAGACTTCTTCCATTGAGACTTAATTGTTATTATTATTAAGCTATGAGAATCTGTAGAATTTTAGGCACTCAAGTTATGGCAGTATGACAGAAAAAAAAACCTTTTCTAAATGACAAGTGTTATCAAGTGCTTCCAAATATCATGTACAATTCAAAAAGGGCATTAGAAAGTCAAAGTATGTAATTAAGAAGGTCCATCTAAATGCAATGCCTATTCTGGCAGGTGCTGCCACCTGCCTAGGATTTGTGGTGAGAAACGTGCTTTGTATCGGTACCTGCCCTTTCCAAATCTAACTCTAAAGAGAGTATCACAAACCTGAAGAAAGAAGAGCTGTGAAACGGAACTAACTAGGAATATCTATTCTTAGCAATTATTTTAACACCTTTCTGCTTAGAAGGCTTGGAAGTTCAGAAACAAAGAAAATTATATTTACAGGGGAAAATGACAGGTTTCACTATAGACATTTCTTTTCTTGTTTTTCTTCCTCCCTCCTTCCTTCCTTCCTTCCCTCCCTCCCTCTCTTTCTTTCGTTCCTTTCTCTTTCCTTCCTCTCTCTCTTTCTCCCTCCCTTCCTCCCTTCCTTCCAACAGGGTCTCACTCTGTTGCCTAGGCTGGAGTGCAGTGGCCCAATCCAAGTGCAACCTTGAACTCCTGGGCTCAAGTGATCCTCCTGGCTCAGCCTCCTGAGTAGCTGGGACTACAGGCACATGCCACCACACCTGGCTGTTTTTGTTTGTTTTTTTTTTTTTAGAGGTGGTGTCTTGCTGTGTTGTCCAGTCTGGTCTCAAACTCCTGGCCTCAAATGATCCTCTCCTCCTGCCTGGGCCTCCCAAAGTGCTGGGATTACAGGCATGAGCCACAGTGCCTGGCCCAACATTTCAAATCTAAGTAACTCAAAACAGATAAAAATGTACTACAGATACTCTACATTTTGTGACCATTAGGCTGCAAAACCATTATTCTTCCAGAATAAATAGGGTAAATTACTTGACTGAATGACCATCAAGATATTTACAGTCTCAGAAACCCTATCTCTAAGTCCACACCCAGATGACCAGTGGTGGGGAATTCCAATTCTAGTTCTGGACCAGCGAATGTCCAGGCAATGGAGAAGCAAAGAACACATCAAAGCGACTGTTATCAGAAGTCTATTGAGGACTAGTCACACCTGCAATTCCATTCCTGCAACAAATCTGTGATAAGAGCACAAGAAATGCCAAACTGTGTCAAAGCCAGTCAGTCCAGCTAACTCAGGATTCTGTGTTATTACAGGAACAGGGCCATGGTCCTCTGTGGTTGTGGGGAAAGGGGAAAGGCGGTGATATACATAAAATATGTATATATTTTAAAGATTCTGCAAAATTTCCAATTAAGAAAATAATTTCTCATTGAAATTATTGAAATTTCTCATTGAAAAACTGAATATTCAAATTATTGAAAATAAATTTTCAGCTATCCACAAATTTACTTAAAGCTTTTTGGGAAGTCATTTAAGTAATTAAATATATGAAAAGTTTTCCATGACAATTAAATCTTAATCATGAAAACCACTAGATGTGAATTCCTAAAATGTTTACTCAATAATATTTTTTAAACAAATTACCTGCATTACAGGAAACAAAAAAAATTTACCATTCCTTTTTGTTTGGGTTACACATACACACACACACACATATGAAAGGGAGAAAATGTCTTAGTATCACAGTTCTTTATGTTCCTTGGCTATTTTTTAATAACACAAATTCATGAAAAATCCTGTTATCTAATGATTAAAATTCAATCCAATTCTTTTTTCTTGTGCTTTGAAGGTGTGGCTGAAGTTCTTTCAGCTTCTTCCTGAACAGATTACTAATTTTTCCCTAATGTATTGTTTTTCCAGAAAGCCAGCTTCCATGTTTACAGTATCTGGGAGGTGAATGCAATTTGGGGGAGACGCTTAAGTGTCTTTTCCTCTAGCGTGAACACATCGCCCTGACTGCCTACCACTAGGGAAGGCGCCGCTTCCTTTCCTGTATCTACTCACCATGCCTTTTTCTTCCGCTTGTGCTTGGACTCAATCATGCGAACAATGGCTTCTTCTTCATAGGTGTGGCCACACACTTTATTTTTCACTGGCTTCTTCATTTCCAGCTGTAATCAAGGAGATGTTAGGCTTTCAGGAATGATAATGATCAACTTCCAGGAGCTGTTTTTTGCCTAGTCCTGAGCTTTCTATGTTTACTTTCCCATTCTCATGGCTTTAGATAATTACCAGGCTTTAGATAAGGAAATGCAGGGAGACCAGTGGCACCACTGTCACTTGGCCTGTGGGCTATGACTTTACCCCTAGGTCCTATGGGCATGGTTGACTGAAAGCTCTTTCCAGCCCAAGAACCTCCCATGTACACTTTTCAACCCTCATCACTTTTCTTTCCTCCCTCCTTAACTCCCAACATGAAATCAAACCAGAAAGCAAACGGGAGGCTTTTGGCCTCTGTGAATTGTGTTTTCTTTCAGGGGAACGAGGAGGAAGCGGTACCTGTGTAATGGGGCAGATGAAGTTGGTCTGACTTTGGGTCACAATCATATCTTCATCCACTCCTTCTGTTCCATCAGCCTCTCTGTCAGCTTGAAGGCCATCTAGAGGAAAAAGGGGAGTTGATGAGCCTCCTTGGTCTAACATCACGCCAAAGTCGAGGAAGGAATAGAAGGAAGAGAGGCTCCCCGTCTCTCAGGGTGCATTTGGTGTTAGACCCTGTCCTAGGCACTTGGATGCATATTACCTCTTTTGCTCTCTAGAGAACACTGCAGCGTACCTGATTCTGCCCATTTTTGATAAGGAAACTCAGAAGAGAAAAAAAAGACTTTTTCAAAGTTACAGAGAATTAATTCGTGAGGGAGTTCTGCCCAGTGACGGAGGGTATGGCTTTGGAGTCAGACGACTGAACTGGTTATCTCTTCATGTCCAGGGGGAGAGGCTGGGCGAGCAAGGTGCCCTAGTTAAAAGCCTCTACTTTATAGCTTTGTTGCAAACATTAGATGAAGACTGTGGTGTGCTTTGTACAACTCATGGCACAAGGAAACAATCAATAAACAGTAATTACTATTAGGTAGTTCAGGGGTTCTCAAACTTTTTAGTCACAGATTTGAATCCTTTTGCACTTTTAGATATTACTGAGGATCCCAAAGAGCTTTTTCTCTGTGGGTTATATTTATAATATTTATATTAGGCGTTAAGGCAGGAATTTTAAAAACGTATTCATTAATTCATTTAAAGATAATCCCATTACATGTTAACATAAACATTTTAAAAATTAAAAGTAATTATATTTCCGGAACCAAAAAAAGATAGTGAGTAGAGTGGCATTGTTTTCCGTTTGTGTAAATATCTTTAGTGATCAGCTTTACAGAAGACAGTTGCATTTTGGTATCTGCGTATGCTTTCGATCTGCTACAATATTGCATGTCGTGTAGCCTCTGGAAAAATTCACTACTGAAAAGAATGAGAGTGAAAAAGGCAAATGAGATCTTACTGTTATCATGAAAATGGTTTTTGACCCTAAAGATACCCTGAAAGGCTCTCGGAGAACCCTAGGGATCCCTGGCCCTTGGCGAACTGCTGAACCGGCTTTAAACACGGCACTAGCTGCTTCTGACACCTATGTTCTTTTCATTACAACCTACTTGCCCTTCACTGGGGAAAAAAACACATGACAGACACTTTCTGAATGCGATAGGAGTGGGTATCTCACATGAAAGCCTTTCTCTCAGAGAAGGGACACTTGTCATTTTGCACAGAAGCCGAAGATCAATAGCTTTGTAAACATAAGTGTTGACAGTGAAGTCCTTCCTTCTCCCGCCCTTTCCTTTCTCTACTATCTTCTCCCTTCCCTTCCTTTCTGTTTTGGCAAAATAATATAGACATAAAAACTGCTTTCCTTTATCTACCTTGGCTTTCTTTTTTTTTTCTATCGAGACAGGATCTCGCTCTGTCGCCCAGGCTGGAGTGCCAGTGGCACGATCACAGCTTACTGCAGCCTCAAACTCCTGGGCTTGAGAGATCTTCCCGGTTCAGCCTCCTGAGTAGCTGGACTACAGGCACGAATCAATACGCCCTGCTAATTTTTTTTAATTCTTTGTAGAGATGGGGTCTTGCTATTGCCCAGGCTGGTCTCAAACTCCTGGCCTCAAGTGATCCTTCTGCCTTGGCCTCCCAAAGTGCTGGGATTACAGGCGTGAGCCACTACGCCCAGCCTGCTTTCCTTTTAATATGTGAGAAGGAAACCCTTGTGTCTGGTTCAGATGGTTAGGCATATATTTCAGCTCCAAAGAACTGATGACTTTGGGTCTCCACTATCTATCTACAAAGGTACCACAAGGTTGAGTATCCCTTATGCAAAATGCTTGGGAAGTATTTTGGACTTTTTTTTGATTTTTGAATATTTGCATATATATAATGAGATGAAATTCATTTATGTTTCATATGCAACTTATACACATAGTCTGAGGTATTTTATACAGTATTTTTTTTTTGTTTCTTTTTTTTTTTTTTGAGACAGAGTCTCACTCTGTTGCCCTGGCTAGAGTGCTGTGGTGTCAGCCTAGCTCACAGCAACCTCAAACTTCTGGGCTCAAGCGATCCTCCTGCCTTAGCCTCCCGGGTAGCTGGGACTACAAGCACACGCCACCGCGCCTGGCCTATACGGTATTTTTAATAATTTTGTGCACCCATTACATGAGGTAAGGTGTGGGATTTTCTACATGTGGCATCATGTTGGCATCATTAGGGATGCTCTACCTGTAATGGGTACAGAAAGAGGGCCATGGAGCTCTTCTTCAAGGCTACCCAGTGAATTAATGGCTGGAACTCAGGGCTTCCTTCTGCCTCCAAGTTCAGCTCAGCCCAGCTCAGCCCAGCCCAGTTCAGCCCAGCCCAGCCCTCGGCCTCCCTTCTGCCTCTGTTTTTTGGTAGGGATTTCACTTTCTTTCAGTGGACTTGTGCTATTTGTATGCCAGCAGCGTGCTATCCACTGTCCACCAAACCAGCTCTCATTCTTTGAGGAAGGCAAGAATGAAGACCTCAGGGCTCAGGACTTCCCAGGCAGAGCATTTTTAACCATTGGACAATAAGGTACCGTGCCTTAGGCCTTCCAGTTTTTCAGGGACCTATAAAAATGTATGAGACCTTGAAAACCATTTATTGGCTTCAAAACAGGATAACTGGCCGGGCGTGGTGGCTCACGCCTATAATCCTAGCACTCTGGGAGGCCGAGATGGGAGGATGGCTCCGAGCTCAGGAGTTCAAGACCAGCCTGAGCAAGAACAACACCCTGTTTCTACTAAAAAATAGAAAAAAAATTAGCCGAGTAACTAAAAATAGAAAAATTTAGCCGGGCGTGGTGGTATGCGCCTGTAGTCCCAGCTACTTGGGAGGCTGAGGCAGAAGGATCGCTTGAGCCCAGGAGTTTGAGGTTGCTGTGAGATAGGCTGACACCACGGCACTCTAGCCCGGGCAACAGAGCAAGACTCTGTCTCAAAAACAAAAACAAAAAACAAAAAAAAACCCCAGGATACCTATAAAATTGAAAAAGCCTCCTCCTGGGGGCTGCTGCCTCCCATTTCTGATCGTGTGTTTGACAGCCAAAATAAAAGTAGCTCTTCGACATTTCTTACAGGGTTTATTCTGAACCGATGGCAGATTTGTGACTGTAGATGTTATACTGTGGAATACAACAGAAAATCCGTTAAGATGTATAACAGAGTTCAGCTGATGTGGGTTTGTTTGTTATTTTCTGTTTTTAAATTTCAAAAGGTAGAGGAAGTAAGAAAGCATTACTCAAATGCAATGCCAACCACTAGGGAAGGCTGAGTGGGGAACTTCGAAACTGTAGCAGTGATCACAAAAGAAGAAGGTAACAAAAGTGAGACTGGGAAGAATGCCACCAGTGAGTAAGAGCCCGCAAACCAAGAGTCTAAAAAGAGAAAGATTCTCAATAACTAAACGTCTCTAGAGACAGAACATTTCCTCACCCTAAATCTATATTTATAGAAATTGACATTAGCATTGGGAGTCTCCAGTGCGCTAACGAAAGGTCATATCTGGCAATAAATATCACTTATGCTGAGTTAATTGACCCAAAGACAAAACTTTGTGTAAGTTTTACTTGGTAAGAGGAAGATTGGAGAGAAAATATAGATCATCTACTAAAATCACAGTTTTAAAACTGAGGTTATCTATCCTAAGTCTTTCATTTACTTGAGAAAATTGAGATCCAAACAAATTGTAGGTTTTGTCCAAATGTCATGCAGGAATTTAATAAATCAGTGTGTTGCCTTATTTTCTTGGACTGGTTCATTTGAATACTAAAATCAGTGTATTGGTTCTGGGAGCCCCCCTGGCCCCCAAATTATTATTTCATTAATAATAATAATACCTCGAGTTTACTGAATGTTATATAGCAGCTACTGTGCTAAGCACTTTATAGACATTATTTCATTTAATCCTCACAAAACACTACTCATGAACAATGACTGTATTGTTATTCTCATTGTATAAACAAGAAAATTTAAGCCCCATGGTATTTTTAAGGCAAATGTAGAAAATATCTGCCTTATAAACAAGAAACAATTGGATTAAATCAGTTTAATCTTTATTAAAGAGATCACAATAATTTTCGTGATTACAAACAGAAAAACAAACTAGTCACATTATATGTATATTATATATATATATATGTGTGAGGTATGTTGTTAGAAGCATATGCCAGCTGTCAACTCCTGACTGATGGGCAGATCTCGGACCCACACTGTACGTCCCGATACCTGGGCCCAGGGCACCCCAGTGCTGTGCTGAGGAGGGAAGCCTGGTCAAGAACTAGCATTTACAGAGCACTCACAAGACATGTAGCAGGGTGTGAGTTAGGTAACTTGGATGTGATTTTTTTTGATGTCAGAAATGAAGACCAAAAGGAAGGAGAAGCCACGGCAATGCTTGAATTAGTATTTCCAAAGGTCTATAAATATGCCTCAGTGATGTAAAGTTGGGGGGTGGTGGTGGTGAGGGCATTTATTGCACCCCGAGACGTAGGTTCAAGGTTACTCGGTTGTGTCCGTGAGTGCAAAGTCCAACAGCTCTGTCTACTGTCCTCCGCATCTCAGTCACCATCCACACAGTTGCCTGAAGCTCGTCTTTGGAATCACTCTTTGTAATTTCCTTTTCTTCATTCCTCTCGTCCAATCCACTGCCAGGTTGTGTCGACTCTGGTTCTAAACCATATTCCACATCCAGCCCCTTCTCTCATTCTCTCCTGCGCCCCTCAGTCCGAACCACTACCGCCTCCTGCCTGGACCTCTGCAGCTGCCTCTGCACCAGTGACCCTGCTTTGACAAGGGCCACAACCCGCCTATGCCTGCTTCCTGCAGTGGCCTGCCCTGCCCTGCGAGACCTTGCCTGGACAACCTCTCTGATCAGTCTCCCTGTCAACCCTCATGCTCTAGGTACACTGGCCTTTTCTCTGTTTCTAGAGCATGCCAAGCTCCTAGTATCTTTGGGCCTTTACACTAACCTGCCTAGAATGTTCTTCCTCCTGCTCTTGCTCATCCTACTTCTTCTTGTCATTTTAAAATGTCAGTTTAAATGT